AGTACTCGCCTATACAATCCCATCTTAGAGTTACAGGCCCCAGACTCTTGAAACTTGAGGCATACAGTTGTCAGAAAGTTTTATCAGCATTGACAAACATTAAGCTTGTAACATTAAAACACAACTGACAAATGTTAAGCTTAACATTAAAACCACAACTGAAAATGCTACTGTCCAATAAGTTCAAGTGCTGACTACCAAATGACTGGCTTCTGACTGTGAACAGATAAAACACATCTAAGTAAATTAAAGCAACTCCAGACTCTGCTCGAGTTAAATCCTATTTCTTAACCATAGTCCCATTTCAAACTCTTCCAGCAATCTTACCTAGTCTTACAGGAAGTGTACCTTTAAATCTGAGCAGTTTAAACTTCTTGCTTCAAAGCAACTTGAATTCCTGCTAAGTCAGTTCAACAATTTCTGGTGACAAGAGAAGAAAAGTTAAATTTTGCCCAGTGTATCACAGACTTGTTGAGGTTGGAATGGATCTCTGCAGATCATCTTGTCCAACCCCCCTGCTCAACCAGGGACACCTACAGCACATTACCCATGATCATGTTCAGATGGTTTTTCAATATCTCCAATGTGGGAGACCCAACAACCTCCCAAGGCAACCTGTGCCAGTGCTCAGCATCCTCACAGTAAAAAAAGTGTTTCCCAAGGGAAACGTTCAGAGGGACCCTCCTGCATTTCAGTTTGTGCCCATTGCCTCTTGTCCTGTCACTGGGCACCACTAAGAAGAGTATGGCTCTGTCATGTCTGCACCCTCCCTTCAGATATTTATATACATTGAAAAAAAACCCCCAAGCTGCTCCTTCCCCAGGCCGAAGAGTCCCAGCTATCTCAGCCTTTCCTCATAATGGGAGATGCTCCAGTCCCTTCATCACGTTCACAACCCTTCAGTGGACTCTCTCCAGTATGTCCATGCCTTTCTTGTTCTGGGGAGCCCATCACTGGACACGTGTTCCAGATACAGCCTTACCAGTGCCAAGCAAAGTGGAAGGATCACCTTCCTCAACCTGCTGACAACACTCCTCCTGCTGCAGTGTTCTTTGCAGCAAGGGCAACATCTGGGAAGCTACACAAGTAGCTACATTAAAGTTGCAGGAAAGTTAAAATGCAAGAATGAAAGTTTCCCTTAGAACTCTGACTTGGCACATATGGAGAGACTGATCCATGCTATGTGACAAAGTCATTCCCCTCGCTCAGCACTGTTATTTGGGTAAGCATTACACTAGGCAAATTAAAAGACAAGAGGACAATCAGAAACTAACTGCCAGATTTTGAAAACTGTACTGTGAAGATGAAGTTCATTTAGGTTGCTGGGTACTTGGGAATTCCCACCCACTAAGTTTTTAATAAAGCTATCCTTGAACACCCGTAGGGGCAGCACCACAGAAAATTCACATTGCACTGGGCATGGAAGGGATTGAATGGTGTGAGCTGAACTCTTGAAGAATGAGACTGAAGTTAATCACTGCCACTCACCAGGCAGGATCTTCCGACACATTCAATATAAGCTCCACAGTTCATTAGTTAAAAAACACAGCAAAGAGTAGTGGGACAGGACAGAGTAAGTTAGCCTGACCTTTACTGAAGAAGTACTTCAGTTTAGCACTAACTCTTGCACATCCACTTGCCAAATTCAGGAGGAAGTAGGATTTTCCCCAAAATGGCTGAGAACAGTTGTAATCATGTTAAAACACTTTATTCTCCTGTTTAAGACAACAGGGATTCTTATTTATGCACACTTTGAGATAACGTTTTTAATTTAAGCCTACGCATTCCACTTAAATTTTAGAGTTTAAATTAACCACCAAGGTGTGTTTAAGACTGTATTTTGAGATTATTTATTCTACAATATGTATTAAGAAACACTTACTTCAGAATTACTAATACAAGCAAGTCAGCTACTCTGAGACACTCAGTGCTGTTCTCCCAATTCTTCAGAACCCATTTTAACAAGCCTAAGAAGGATAAACATTTAGAAAGACAGAACAAAACCCCAAAATGCTAGTCAACCTCTACTGTTGTAGCCAAGATCACTTTATCAAGTTGCTTACAGAGGGAGAGAAACTTACTTATTTATTCAGCGGTCTGAAATAAAACTGTTCCAATAGCCCCCACGCTCAGGCCTTCGCTATCTTACCCAGCAAACAGGGCAGGCTCCCAAGCCAGATACTCTGAGTGCCCTCTGGAATAGCCCCCCATCCTCCAGAGGACGGGGGACCAAGACTCCTACCTTTACCACTTAACTGGGATGATTAAGTAGCACTGACATGATTTCTCAGTCTTTTCACCAAAGAATGGTACTATAGATTAAAAGGAAGTCACTGCATACCCCTTCATCTTCCTCCTTGTAGGTTAGGGTGAAAAACAGGTACTAGACTTTAATTGCAACATAACACCTAGCCCATGCGAGATGCTGACAGTGCTGCCTACCACAAGCTTCAGGAGGAAGAACCTGTGTATGATACAGTGTTTCCTAGAATGACTGTTTCTAGTTTTCCCTGATTTCTCTATCAGTAGAAAGCACAGAGGTTTTGGGGTTTTTTTGTTGTTTTTTTTTTTTCTTTTCTTTTCTTCCAGCTGTGTTCTAGTTATCTGCTTACAGATTTTAAATTCAAACAGCTTGCTCCCAATAGCATCCGCTTTTAAAGGGTGGCACAGTTTAGGAAATACCCTAAGAAATCTACACCACAAATATTAAATTGCTGCTTTGGAAGGGATCTAAATTTCATGATGAATAACTTAACAAGACTAAAGACACATTCACTTTAATTTACCTAACCCAACAGCTTTTCCTACTAACACCACATTTATTCTTTGATAAGGCTAATCAAAGAGTTACTAGACAGCTGAAATAGCCCCAAAGTCTGTAACAACACAGTTCTAATCTGACTGAAAACAGGATTTCCATCCTGAAAAATTCAAGTTGCCTTTGCAGAATTTACACTTGTTCAAGATGGCAATGCTTCTTCTAACTACCAGCTCTTACTTCTTAAGTTGAGGTCTGCTTTCTGACAAGACATTCCTCTATTTCCGAGGGAAGTATTCTGAATTTCTGTGAAGTCACCTAATAAGAGTTTCTTTCGCTGCCTTTAATTCCTTCATGAAATGAACACCAAGGGAACTTGGACAAGATTGTTTCCTCACTGGTTTGATCCGTATGTGTTCTGTGCTCTACACAGGAGAGTTTGTGCATTCATATGAACTCTTCTGCAACGAGTGAAAAAATGATCAGCAATATAAAGACACCTAATGTCAGGGAACATACTTTAAGGGCATGGGGCAATAGAAGGGGCTAAGGAGCACAGAATAGCCACACTGATCCCATCAGCCTACTCTAGCTAAGCCACAGGATGCAGTCTGAAATGGATAAGAAAAATGAGTTCAAGGCAGAAAAGAGATGGAGACGTTAAAAGCCCACTGCAACTGTATTCGGGTTGCAAAGTTAATGTTAAGATACATTTTGAGTGACTAAAGCTGACAGCCATTAATAGGCAGTCCACCAATGCCCTTAACTAGCCTCTTAAACTCTTGCCCCGTCTTTTTGCAACTGTCCTAATTCCAGTCTATCTTCCAGTATTTTTGAACATGCTGTCTATCACCCCAGTGCCTATACAGTCATTTTAGGCTCTCAAACAAATGAAAGATACCATGCCACATACACATTCGCCAACTATAGTATTCTAACCAGTTATACAGCAACTTAATCAAAACAGTACTTGGTACGAAGTTAGTGCTTCTAACAGTAGCCAGTACTTGACTGAAAGCATTTGTAAGGAAAGCTGCATCAAGCTGACAATCATTTTCACTTTACTGACAGCATTTCTTCAGCTCTTTCAACTCACAGCAAAGACTTTCAGCTTCGTGCACTAGCAGATTCACTTCTGCCAAGAGACAAGTCAAGATACTGTCTTGCCTTTTCATCTGTTTCTACAAATGCAGAAGCCTTTAGCTGGTCAAAGAAGGCAGGAACTTTTGTGAGTTCAATAAAAGGGAGACAGTTATGATGTTCAAGGGAGGGGTACCAGGAGTCACCCATCTGAACTAAAAAGTGTCCAGGAACACCACATGTAGTTGGAGAGAAGAATTACAGGCAACAGGATAGCCCCATAGAGCTGGGCCACAATCTGAAGGCTACCATAAATTAAATGTGGTAACCGCAGCATTTAATTACACAGAGCGTGAAGCTACAAAATAGAATGGTCAAGATATGGTCGATGCACAGAAGAGACCCAAAATATTCCTCGATAGCCATGGCTAGACCTATGAACTGTAGATCTACAGTTTCAGTAGCCAGAACAATCAGTAAAATTCAAACCTGGGTATTCTTTCAAGGTTTTCAAAGCCTCCTATTTACATTAATCATGAATACTGCTTTACCAGGCAAAGGATATATTCCAGTGCCCCACAGGCTCACACAGTTCACAGGGACCAAGACATTTTTAGGTAAAAAAATATTTAAGAGAGCACAAGCTAGTTAAGTTTTAAAACACATTTTGGTAGTCCATGTCATTGCAAGTTTTGTTAATAAAGTGACCAACATGGAGTTCTGATGTTCCCTAGAAAGAGGGACTTTTTTAAAAAATGGTAAAGCTGCTTTGATTCTTTGTCATTTAAAAGAGTCACAGCTGTTCCTCTACATATTTTACTTGGTGTGCATTTTGAATGTTGAATTCTTCCATTGTCATATACTGGTTTAATTTATTTTTTTTGTAGTTAAAGCATTCAGACTCTTGAGGTGACATGGCAAGACTATGTACTTAGTTCAGTAAGACTTATCTGATCCAATGGCAAAGTCAAACAGTCTCCCTATGGTCACAGGGAAAGTGGATGTCCATAGCACCCCATGCTCATGAATTGGCTGCAAGCTAGATGTAGAGCCACAAGACTGAAGCAGTGACCACAGAAGTTTGACAGCAGGA